CTGTGCTCTTTTCTGAAGGGTATAAAATGACAGTATAATTACAGGCGTGAGGTATTCCATCTTGTCACTCTGTCACAGAGTCACAGAACAAACATGGGATCTTCCCACTAGTGAAACAAATAATAATTATAAATTAATGAAAGAAAATGTGTTGTCATTTGTTGGTGGCATAGGAGAATCCATTGCCCCATTGGTTTGTTTTCGAAAGAGGCGAATATGGGAATTTCTAAAAAGATTTTAATGGTCTCCAGTAGATATCGGTATAGCGAATTTATGCATATCAGAAGTAAATACCCAGACCGGCAAGCTATACAGGGTTATTTTTCAAAGAGTACCCAAATTTTAAACTTAAGTTCTAATATATAAGTAATTAATAATGATATACCGTTATTGCAGTTTTTGAAAATAACGGTGAATAAGGCTTTCTACTTTTATTTGAAGTTATCCCAAACTGAATGTGATTTATGGGCAACAACGTTTTTGTCTACCGATCGACCCTTACGAATGTGGTGCGTGCGCAGTAAAATCAGTTAGAATAATGCATTACCCACGCATGTTGAATTTAAACGATAAAAAGGACAGTGTTTGAGATTTTTAAAATTTTTCTGCACCATTTGCCTATATTACTTATTGTGAACTTTCTCTGCAAATTTGGCCGGTTATTGCGAAATATCCCTGTATAACGTGGCGATTATAGAAAATTTTGCTAGCAATGGAAATTTACAGACTGAGAAAATAGAACAAGAAAATCAAGCCAACTCATTACATTGTAAATTGTTACAAGTTGAGTCCCGCTGTGTTTATTGCTGGTTTTCCCAGGACGGTGGTTTGTTCCGAACCAATGGTAATGGTAAAAAGAAACTTTGAATAAGTATTCTTTTATTATTTATACCGTTACACACAATCAAAGTCAACTGCTTAATATAGGCTTCCCCCATAAGATGTTTCTTAGGAGGGATATTTGCCGTAGTTGTTAGTTATTTTTTGTGACAGGCGAGTAAAAAAAAAAGAATTGCAGTTGACAACGCAAGTTTAAGTGTACTCTCAAAAGCCTACCTGCCTGCCTGATGCCTGAAGGTCGGTGTTAGGGTAGTGGTATCTGGTTGGAACGGAAAACAAAGAATTTATGCTTTTACATAAATAGTGACTATCACTATGTACATTTTTGTGAAACAAATAATGATTTTTCGATTTAGATTTAACGTGGTTGAATTTCATTGTCTCTGATGCTGCATCCGGTCTAATTCACTATTATCGCATTATCTTTACGTAAAATTTATATGCCAGAAAGACAAAGCTAATTTTTTTTTGTTCAGCTCATTTCCGATACTAAACTAGTAGGCCATAGTAAATGGAAGCGTGCACATATCTTTATATCTGTTAAAAAACTTTAAACCTCAAATTATTAAGTATTATTTTGTTTCACAACTCGATAAACGATAATAATGAAGTTGTTTTGCTAATAATAATTAAGGTACTTATTACCCTCATTTATCGATATAATATACATTAAGGTAATTCTAAACCTATCATTAATTAAAGTATAGCGTGTAACGCATATGTTACCAGTTATATAATAACATCCCTTACCGTGTGAAAGTGTCCTCCAATTATAATCTGTGATCATTATCCCGGGCCTCGGGAGAGTGCCGAAAATTGACGAAAATTAAATATTCGCTACACTCAAGTTTATCGCGTTAGGCCCGCGAGATTGCCAATAAAGTGGGACCCTCGCCCGGTCTAAGTGCGTAACTGCGTTTAAAGTAGAAGCGGAAGCGGGTTGCGAAAAAAAATTATTTGCGTTCACTATTTATAAGAGTGTAAGAGATATGAACTAAGTTTTTCTGTTATGTGTGGTATCATAATCATCATTGCAGCTCATCACATGTCCACTACTGAACAAAAACCTCATCAAAGTGATACATTGTACAGTTATTAGAGGACTGCGCACCTGTACACATCGACTTCCTCGAGATTGTTAATCAATATAGTGAGGGGCCGCCCTACGCTTCGCTTGGTCGTGGCAAGTTGCAAACAAGGTTGCCATGCACATAGTTGCTGAACCTTAAAAATATATATGCATTGAATTGACAGAGACTTATAAAATAGAGGCCTTGTGCGGCGTAAAATAATCTATAATCTCAATTTGTCCCGTGGTTGTTGTAATAGAGGCTATGGAAAATGGCAGGAAATCGTATGGTTTCCGATGATAGTATAACCATTTCACGTGAAATACCTAAACTGGCGACGGGCAACGTTAAAGGCGCGAGACGTCTCGTAGAGAATTTGTGAATCCGACTGCCAAGCGTGATGATAAAGGCAAAATCTATCTACAACAGGAGAGGCTCATGTCATGACTTATGGGTTTGTCATAAATAAGCAGAAGCAAGTGGCAAAATTAAAAAAAATTGTACAACGTACTTCAATATAAATAAAATGAGAACAATATCAATGTAGTCGAATTCAATTAAATACGCACACTGACTTCTATATATACATACTTGTATATATAGAGGTCAGTGAATACGCATTATTAAAGATAACTCAAAAGCTACCGGTCAGATCAAATACAAATTTATATGGGACTAATATGAGAAGCACTAGCTTTCAGATAAAAAAAAGAATCATTAAAATCGGCTCGAATTCCATTCATCATTGAATTTTAAGAACCTTCTCGTTTTTTGTAGTCGGTTGAAAATAAAAAAGAAACGACACAGACTATCGGCTATGTGTACGGACCGCTAATCTAAAAATTCGTACGCTCAAATCCGCCATTCGATCACTGTCGTATACCGCGTCTAGGACAAGCATTTTCAGTTTAGTTATCGTGCTTACTGAGATTAATTCTAATAATTTCTTGCTAGTATTTAAAAAAAAAATATTACGCCTCATGATTTCCGCGTAACATCTCATTATTACGTGAGTGTTATAAATTGACCAAGGGGCCTAAAATATCTAATAATTTCCAACATTTAACGTTTGGAATATTTCACGTTTTAGAAACATGCTGTAATAAGATTTTACGCATGTGTTGGTTTTATTTATTTATTAATTTATTTAACAAGTACACTAAACAATATATACAAATCTACATCTACACAAATAAATAAAATTAAAGTATATGTAAGTTTGTTTAAACTACGTAACTAGTATACATATACTTTAATAAAATTAAAGTATATGTATACTAGTTACGTTGCTACTATTTCTTTTATTTTGGAAATGAATTAGGGTTCCCTGCAAAAAAATCCAAGAAATTCGTTTCTTATAATTTCGACGCGGACAAAGTCGCGATGAACAGGTAGTGTGTAAATATTTCTCTCTGTTATAAATGTTGGGTATCATAATTACTAGATATCATTATTTTCTTAAATTTCTTTAAATAATTAGTGGCAGGCAAGCAAAAATCAAAATTAGTGACATGGCGACTTTCGAACCTAGACTACTACTACTTTGTAAGTTACATACTACGTAGTAAGTTCCTCGCATTTATTTATTACCTAAATTTAACACGGAACAAATATTTTTGTTATTTATTGCAACCATAAATGCCTTCTATTAAGAATTTGCATGACAAAAAAGTGGATACAATTGCACTTTTCCATGAAAATTGTTACGTAAAAATCATAAGTTTCATACGAGTTTTAACCGACTTTAAGAAAAGAGGTTATCAATGCGAATACGTTTTATTTAATGTACGTAACAATTGTGTTATGTTCATTAAATTATATCTTTAACTACTCGCCTGTAAACCGTGGCAACTATGACAAATATACAACATATACGGCAATTTATGAGGAGGCCTAGCTGTAATAGGATTGGTAAATAATAAAGTAACAAGTAAATTTGTAGTAGTAAAAAAGTAAGTAGAGAAAGTAAAACTGTGACACTGTGACAGAAAAACCACGAGAGTAACATTAATGCTGTAGTAATGCGGTATTTAAAAGTATGTTGAAGAGAAAAGTGTGATTTGCAAAATGTTGTGATCAGAATTAAGAAACGAATGTTGCAGTGGTTTAGACACGTAGAAAGAATAAATAAAGCGAGTGACAAAGCAATTTTTGGATGTAGAAGTGGCAGAGTTGGTAAGGGATGCTTAGCCGAAAGTTTATCGGCCGAATTGGCGATATGTTGTAGGTGGACTAAATTAAGAGTACCCTTAACTAACGTAAATGTATGGATGTGAATTAAGAAAGAGAGAGAGAGAGAGAGAGAGAGAGATGTATCAGGATCATGCCAAATGGTAGTCCGTACCGTAGTATCTGCTTACCTCTCACAGGCGTTAGTGTTATGTTAAAATGCTGGGTCAATTAATAGAGTTCGACTGCGCGCTGCTCCAAGTTGTGATGAAGGATTTCATTTCACAAGTTCTTGAAATACTTTTAGTGAGACATGCACGTTTTCACATTATTTTCTTTTACCGCTAATCACTTGAAATTGTAATTAACAATTTTATTGGGCCCGCGAGAATCGAACCTGGATTAAGCGCATAGCCCCTGAGCAATCGCGGTTTAAATATAATAGGCAATATAGATGTAGAAAATATTATGACATTTTTAAAAATTTACGTCGTCATAGGCTGAACGTGCCTGCCGGTCCTTTGCCATCTTCGTCCATCAATTTCCTACCTGCCTCGTTATGTAGTCACCCCATCTAGTGGGGAATCGACACACAGGAGAAGACAAGTTCTTTATTTAAACAATTATGTTATGTATATATAATAATCTTTTGTAGATCTTTTGGCTGAAATTCCGTACGGATTTATTTATAATGATTTCTTTATATGATTAATTATAAAGAAATCATTATAAAAAAAAACATCATACTGATTTGCACTCTTCGCACTCCATAAAGTCTTTCCGTCCGTTAATTCGTTCCGTACACAAACTTCCAATTAAAGTTCCGTCTAACAATTTGTTCATTAGATTCGAGACCCAGGTTAGGTATAAAACAGTCCATCGCACGCTCGGTTGACCCAATTAACCTCTATTTCCTTACAGATGCAGTATGCACCAAAACTGCAGTATATTAGCCAGCACGAATATGTTTGGTGACCCGTGTCCGAACACGTTGAAGTACCTCGAGGCGCATTATCAGTGTGTTCCTGGTAAGAAAAAATAACAATTCGTTCGATTTTTAAAATTCAAAATACATACACATTCAAATCACGCTTTTAAAAGTTTTTTTTTTTATATTAGAGGCAGTATAAACATTGAAGAAAATAGCAATTTCCTCAATTGAATGTCACATTATACTAATCTAAACTTTAATTTAATTTTTTTTTAAATTCCATTCTAATAAATAAGTATGTTATTATTATGAGTTATCAAAAGTTACGGATGAATACCATATTAAGTCGAAAACGACGAAATAATTTTTCAAAAGTAAGTTTCACTGTATTATTTTCAAAATTAAATAATTAATTAAAAAAAAACTTTTCAAATTTCAGCTTCAACAACTAGCACAACCAATCGGCCATCACCGCCATGGCTTATCACCTCCCAGCCAACAGTATGGCGGTCCACCATTCCTCCTATACCGAAGAGTCCCGTGCAAACGCAACAGACAGAACGCAAGAAGCCCACTGTTATAACGCCGCCAACATTCAGGCCTCATATCACATTACCACCGGAAGTGAGGCTTGGTGACATTGGTACAAAAGTATGTCTAATATCTTATTTATTTTTATTATATTTCTTTCATTAAGAATATATTTATTTTCATTAAGAATATTAGATGTCCGATTATGTTTTTTTTTTCGGATTTCGATCACATTACTAATTAACTACTATTAGCAAATTTCAGTTATGCAAAATATATCATAGTGCAAGCAAACGCACTAACACAAATCGCACCTTTCTTTGTAGTTGAGTAATACTTTCTATAAGATAAATAAGTTCAGGGGAAACATCGAATTTATCAGGAACACGTGAAAAATCACAACGCATTTCAGAACCGAAAACGAATATATAATATTATATTTTAAATAATATAATATAAAATATAGTAAAGTTATTTTTGCTCTTACTTGACCTCTTACTTTCATTCATTAATTCTTTATTGCATATCTAATCGGAATTAGAGATACAAATGTCTATTGGAGTTATCCATCTGTCAACCCTTTGTTGAAAACTTCGACCTTCGAATTTGGATAATAAACTAATTATATTAATTTCTCATGTCACAATTAATCCGGGAGTCAGGTTTGTAGAGACAACGTATTTTTTTTTAAATATTACAGTAACAAACGGTCTAACAGTCTACCTGATAATAGGTCTTTTACCAACCAAAAAGAATAAAAGCTACAGGTACGTCGCTCTAGGATCCTTCCAGGATTGCAATTCCTTAAACACTGTTATTAGACCAGCTATGGTGGTTATGATATTTACCCAGTTGGGCTCGTAGGCAGAAAAGGATGTATAAAATCTTATATATTTTTGTAAACCTATTGTTGGCTGAAAATTGATAATCTAAAAATAACTTATTAACACTCAATATAAATTTAATTTATGTTGCATCTCTTTGCGTTTTCTATCGTATCTACCTTGGGGAGTGTTCTGAGGAATTGTTCGGATTAGTTCCAGCTGCCAAATTTCACGAACGCACATCGCGTCGAAACATCCGATACTATCCTCACCATCTGGATGCTTGGCCGTCCACTACAACATTTCTTCCTCGTACAACTTCTGTGTGGAATTGTTTACCACCGGCTACTTTTCCGGACCAATACGAGTTAGGGATCTTCAAGAAAAGAGCTTACTCCTTTCTAAAAGGCCGGCAACGCATCTGCAATTCCCCTGGTGTTGCGGTTGTTCATGGATGGCGGTAATCACTTACCATCAGGTGAGCCGCATACGAGTATTATTTTTTTGCCCCCTCTTCTATAAAAAAAATTAACTAGGAAGAAATATCAATTGAAAATCTCATATATATATATATATATTTTTAGTATATAAATTAATGTTTGTTTTCGTATTTAATGCGCTGCCATACCTGTTATAATTTACCGTCTATAAGCATGGTACAGTTAAATCACAGCAGGTGGCGCGCGTATCGTACCGATAAATTTATTTGAAAGTTATATATCATTTAACTTCAATGAATGTATTATCATTCCTCATTAAACTCTCTTGTAACTCTTCCAAATTCAAAACAATATTTTCACAATTATTTCTTCTACGGCAGCAACGCGTGGGGTAACGAGCTAGTAAAATAAAAAAATAAAAATAAGAAGGACACTGAACAACATGAAATATGTTTATTATAATTACAGACATAAGTAAATTCAAACTAGCGTATTCAAACTAGCGTATTCATATTAATTAAATGTCTCCAGCAGCATTTTAAAATAAATCAACATAAATTGTTTAACTTAAAAATGCAGAACAAACTACAATATTTCTAATAAAATAATCAAATAAAATCAATTTCTTCTAGAAGCCAACAACTCGACAACCAGATTCATCATCAGAGAAGGACCCATTACAAATCCCTCATGACCACGTACCTGAAGTCAAGGAAGAAATTCCAAAGGTTGCTGAACCAGAGAGCATACCGAAGAATGAGAAACCGATTAAGGACCGTGAGGAAGGAATCGGTAAGGCTTCTCCATATTAAGTTGTTCTACATTATAATCAAACCCATTTTTGTCTTTTTTTTTACGCCTCTCGAAGGCAAAGCACGGGTTATTTCGGACTCGCACCGACTGGTGGTGGAAGGTGAAACACCGACACATGGTGTTCCTTTAAAGTGTGTGACTTTAAAGACTGAAACCTGTGACCCATTATGTAGTTTTTATCACTTTGCCACGAGGTCGATCAGGTATTTTGAGAACTGCTTAACCTACTATGATTGATTTTAATTAGAAAAAAGCATTGTTTAGCATAATAATTTTTTACAGCACCAGTCACGGAGGCACCCATGCAGTGGCCGGCGAAAGATGAAGACTCAGATTCCACTTCACCAGTCCACATGCCACCGAAGGAGAACCGATCGCCGGAAATAGACGGAGAGAACGCATACGACACTAAGATCTATTGTAAGTTCATTATAAATATAATATGACAGAGACAGCTTTGTTATGTAGCTGTCGGCTTGACTGGGACTGATATCACTATTAACTACCAACCACCAACGTAAAATAGCAGCATAAGACTGCTGTGTTTTGTAGTAAGAGACGAGAACGGATACGTTTTATTGGATTCCATCATGGTTCTTAAAAGTGACAACGCATCTGCATTTGAAATCTTAATTGAGGATTGTTTTAAGTGTGTTGTTGTAAGTACCATCTACCACCAGGTGTACTATGTATGTTTGTACCCGCAATTGCTTAAAGAAATATGTTCAAAATAATACACAACGAAACGATAGCAACAGTAAGGATACTCCATGTGTGAATTGCCTGATGTGAATGTAGTGAATGAGGATATTATCGTTAGGCGGTCTAAATTTAGCCTGGGAATACTAAAACATGCAAAAATAATTAAATAAATATAGAGATGAAGAGATTTTGATGGATGAACACTATAAACATTTGTATAATATTTTTTTTATTCCTTCAGCAACAAGTTCCACACCAAACAGGAGAGCAGCCTACTGTCCACAAGTAATCGCTCGAGGATTACACTGGAACTGGACTCAAGCAGGCCAGTACGCTGTCCAGCCTTGCCCCGGTGGAGCAACTGGCTTGGCGAGGTGGACGTAAGTATCGAAATTTTAATTCATCCATTGTATGATTTTAATTTAATTTTTTCTTTCTAAATAATACTGCGCTGGACTATTCACAACTGGCATTCATCCTTCCAAAGATTTGCTTATACGCTCCATTCCGTGCAGGTGAATTTAGTACAGCGCTACTATCGCACTGATAAACTTGACCTCCAATTAACAGTCTATGTGCGATTTTGGTTGGACATATTAAATACTGATATGCCACCATTTGTTGGTTATTAAGTCTAGTGTAATAGTGGTATAGATATTCGTGCTGAAAAGAGTAACCTATTATTATTATTAACATCAAAGGCTATAAAGAAATCAGTACCGCAGTTTTTTTTTTACTTTGGAGACTTAAGAATCGACCGAGGCAAACACTTGGAAAATATTCAGCCTTAGGTACCATAATGACACTCTAGAAACGGAATGTAATTCGTCTGTTAAGAGGATAGAGTAAGTCAGCTCAAATTCTAATTTCGCCCCCACTTCCCCGCGCGTCGTATGCTATGTACCGACATGTTTGTAATCACTAATACTGTAAGTAGAAAGGTCGTTAGACACTTATTTCATTAGGTTTATCATATTTATGCCTGTTTCTTAACGCCAAGCCAGCCGCTTCTTATTTTTATCACGGTTATTTCCCATTTTAATTTTACGTCGTACTGTTGCGTAATGTATATTCTGATCGTAAGCGACACAACTTCTCCCTTCAAAAGCCTAAGCGATACTAACGGGGCGACTGGAATCAAGCTCAAGACCCCGATAGTGTAGGTAATTTCTTTTTACAGTGAAAATAATGGTATTTTAAAAAAGTAAGTAAATAACATAAGCACTGCTTTATAGTTAGTTCAGTTAATATGCAAAGTTTCATGATCTTATTTAAAGTATTTTATGAATAACAGCGGTTTATTGTTTATTTTGGAGGTAACTTTGGATTTTTTTTCTATCGAGAAATTTTTACGAAATCGTGTTTTCGTCTAACATAATCATTAAAATTAATCCTCAACTTTACCATATATTTATTTCAAAATTAATGCTGCAATATTTTCGGCATAACGAAGGATCTTGCTAAGCCATTTGACATTATATTTCCCCTTAAAGGTAGCGATTATGTGAAACCCTCACTTTGAAAAATCCTGAAATCTACAGTCGGCTAGTTTATGTTAAACTTTATTTCAATTTATTCTTTTAGAAGACAGAAATCCCTATCTATTCCGGGTTATCTAGGAGGTTTAAACTAACATTCTAGCTCTATATTCCCAATCAATTACATTTCTTTTTTGTACTAATGTACAAGTACACTGATACTGTCTTGTTTTCAGATGTACACTGACAACGCACCAGCATTTAGTGGAAGACGAGCGGCCGAGAAGACGCGGTATCGGCTTACAATCAGGAGAGAACTACCATGACTTAGGACTCGATCAGCCCAGCGAAAGGCAGTTACAAATTATAAGAAGGCTTGGCTCCGAAGCATTACTTAAGGGCAAGTCAAGTATATTGATATTATAGAAAAACTTTATTTACACTAACATATATATATATATATTTTTCGGGTGGTGTGTTTTGTCTTTTACTAGGTTTCGTTACTATACAGAGCAGGCACTTCAGGAACCCACAAAGTTTAATTTTGTTGTATAACAGTCTGGTTCGAAGTAATTTAGAATATAGCTCAATTATATGAAATCCATACTATGCAGTGCATTCTCAGCGCATTGAATCGATCCAATCCAAGTTTTTGCGTCTATTAAGCTTACGTACCGGCAACAATAGAAGACTCCGGTCATATGCTGAGAGGCTTAAAGAGTTTAACATGACACCACTTCACCTACGTTGCGACGAATTGGACCTAGTTAACCTACACAAAATAATACACTCGGAACTGGACAGCCCCGAGGTCTTGGAACTGTTAAATTTTAACATAAAACACAACCACGTAGACCTATGAAAAAAATATTTGACATACCCCTATCGCGACATAATATCTTTCGAAATCAACCCCTTTCAAGGTTATGTCGACTTTATGAGGATTATAGCCTTCGCTTTACCAATCTTGACATCTTCAACTCTAGCCTGGTTCGCTTTAGAAAAGTTTTGAAAAAACATTCTCAAGGACATCCCTTTCGATTGATATTCATTATATTTATAGTTCTTGATTTGTTGGATTTGTGAGCCTGTTAGTTTAAGCAATTTTATTAAAAATGTTTGCTTCTCAATCTTGGCATGCCGTGATAACACGTATAAGGATATGTCTTGCATCACACCATTATTTTTGTAAGTTATAGCTTTAAGTCATGATGTAATCTATTGTGTTGTCCTATAAGAAAAAAAAAAGACTAATTAATATCTTTTGCGGTTCGTTAATTGATAGTTTTGCGGTAAAGTTTACCTTTAATCTAATAATATAGGCTTTGTACATACGATATTACCCCCCCATATTCATAAAAACTTTTAAACGCTAGGGTTAGTTAAACAGTGTGTTGTCTCATTCCTACATTTGCGAGACACTTGTTACTAGAAAGTGACAAAACACTATTTATTTTAACTTATTTTATTTTATTAAACAATCAAGTGTTTAAAAATGTTTATGAATAAGGGGGTTATTGCTTATTTTTAATTCACAGGTCGTGATGGTGATTCTCCGGAGCATTTGATCGATTATCGAGGAAGTTCAAGTATGCCTGATGCTCAAATTTCCGGTCACGGGGCTATTTCGAATGGTGATTTTACTTATAGTGAGTGGAGTGTAACATACCTTAAATTTAATACTCACGTTATTATTGTGGAATATTTCAATATCGATTACTTTAATATTAAAATAAATGTTAAAAATATAAAAAGCAATAGGTAAGTACTTAGATTTCCTTGTAATTTATTCTTTGATATAACATCAGGCAGTAAAAAGTTAATCATCAAGACTAGCTTTTAGAGATGTTCATAGTATGTTAATATTTTCTATATAATTCAATCTTATATAAATGTTTATAATTTCTTTGGTTTATATGTAAATATTTTATTTGGTTTTCGAATAAAGTATTATACTTTTTAATCAGCCGATTCGATTCCCGAATGGCACGGAGCGACACCTGACCTCAGCGAGTGCCGATCCGTGTGGTTGAACAGCTTAGAAGCCCGTGTGAGGGAAGGAGAGTCCTTACTCAGTATCAGTAATGATCTGGCACAGGTAAGATTTTGTTCTATGTAATGTAATTATCGTTATGGTTTATAAGGTGGTTCTAAGTAAAAGCTATTAGACGATAATAAGCTATAATTTCATACGGAAGTAAGTTGTTTGAATCCATCTAAAAATTATCTTACGGAACATATTGAATTCTCATACCAAATTATAATTAGTACTAACATATGTAAGCTGTGTTAGTTAAGGGGATAGGCGCTAGCTTTAGAAATGGCCTGAGCCCAGCTGCGGGACATTTTTGGGTTATTATTTTATTTTTACTAGAATTAATAGTTAAAGTTTAGTTACATGTCCCACTGCTGGGCATAGACCGCTCATTTCTCAGAGGGTTTTAGGGCAAGGAAGTGTCCACTGCGCTGCCCCAATGCGCGTTGGCGAACGCACGCGTGTCTTCGAATTTTTTTTCTTATTTCTCAGACATGCAGGTTTCCTCACGATGTTTTCTTTCAACGCTGAGCATGTGGTAAATTCGCTGTGGTAACTCAAATGATTAGCGCTCGCTGTGAATTTAACAGTATGCGAGCAACCGGGGTTCGATCCCCGCCGGCACCAATGAAATTGTTAATTACTGATTTACTAGCATTAAGCATTTATAAAATATTAGAGACTAATGGAGGACACACACGGTCAGTTCAACTGATTATTCCAACTGTCGGTTAAAAATAGGACTGTTGATAATTTTTGAAATATTGGATTTTAGATATATCGATAAATAAACTTATATATATATATATAAATCTCCGATATTGATGTATTTATGATTATCGATATATCGAAAATCCGATATTTTGAAAAATATTAACAGCCCTTTATCAGTTGAACTGACCGTGTGTGTCGTCCATAACTCTGCTCAAGACACGACGGAACTCCTCTTTTTTGTCAGAAATATTCGCGGACCCAACAACTTACCACAGTTTTATTGTAATCGGATGAACGGTATAGAAACGCATAGAAGACGAACAAAATCAGAGACTAAGGCTGGTTGTAAATATTACAGAACGCTAGCAACCCGGGTTCGATCCCGCCAATGTATCAATGAACAATTTTTTTTTATTTTAAGTTTACCTGAATCGCTAAACGGCAATTTTATTAGCGTTCCTAGTTTTGAGTTGAGTGTTGAGGTTAAGAACACAATGTTCTTTACTTTTAAATATTTTCGTATTTACATTCACTTCTACATGTTGTAGAGACCGTAAAATACTGCTTCTTACGTAATGATATTCATTTCAGGTAACATCTTCAAAAACGTTATACGGAGGCGACATGATGACAACAACGAGTATAATGAAGAAGTTAGCGCAACGCATGTCACAAAACATGCAGACTTTTCCCGACCCTCGTCAGAGAGAGACCTTTGTTGCTGACATGCTTTTAGGAGTCATTAAAACTGGTAAGTGACTTATAATCTAATTAAGATGAGAAATAAAAAAAGTTATTTTTGTTTTATTCTCTTAGATATTCATTTAGAAGTTCGAGTAAAAGTGTCCTACATTTATTGAGCTTTATTTATTTAATCAAAAATGTACCGACTAAAATTATTTATTGAAATATTTTTTTAAATGTTCTACGCGTATGAATTCTCTTGTGTCGCGTAGGCATTTTGAATGTTAATATATTAATTGCATATTAAGAAAACATGTCGTTGCTTTCGGCGGCGGTGTAAAAGAACCTACAGTACCGAGCATATTACATAATTGAATCAAACAACTTTTTCTCAAAAAATCATATAAATACATACATACATAACACATAAACACTCACGCCTGTCACCCAGAGGGGTAGGCAGAGACTACGGACTTCCATTTGGAACGATCCTGACACACCTCTCTCGTCTCCTTCACATCCATATATCTACGCATACATGCTCGTCGGTTAAGGGTACTTCTAACGTGGCTCCTTTTCAAAATATCGCCAATTTGGTCGATAAAGTTTTTTCTAGGGCGTCCCTTCCCGACTCGGCCGTTCACATCTGCCATATAAATTTGCTTTGTCAATCTTTCCTCATTCATTCTTTCTACGTGACCAAACCACCGAAGCATTCCTTTCTTAATCCTGGTCACGACATCACGACTTGTCACGCAATTTCTCACCCTGTCATTCAGATTCAACCCTAGCATACTCCTTAAAGACCGCATTTCTACAGCATTTATTCTACTTTCGTGCTTCTTCTGCCACACCCAGCTTTCACTACCATACATTAAAGTAGGGACTAACACAGCATTATGAATTACCATACGTGCCTTTTTTGACACATTCTGGTTCTTCATAATAGAGTGTAGTGCCCCATTCACTCTATTCCCTGCATTTACTCGTCGTTCTATATCCCTATCATATCTACCACCACCCCTTGTTCGCACCATGACTCAGAAAATAAAAATCATATACTTGGTCAAATATACAATTTAGAAACTACTTGGTGGAGCCACGTGTTTAAGGCTGCCGAAATCTAGTTCCCCGGTCAAACCTCAAACCTATTACGCGAGATATTAACTAAAGTGGACTGTATATGCGATTGCTTCTACGCTTACGTAAAAGCGACTACTATAGCATGCGGTACAATGCACTCGCTCTTCCCTAAACTAAACTATTACTTGTCGAATCGATGAAAGGAATCCTGCTTGACTAGGAAAAAAAACACAGATTGGAGCGGGTTAAACTATTAGCAAGCAGGTATAATTAAGGAATATTGACTCACCGGGGTTTCTTCTTCCTGTCGATCACTATAGCGGCGACTTCCGGAACCTCCTCTGGACAGACACTCTGGGGCCCCAGTGGTGCGTCAGGAGAGAAGAGTTGGTTCAACGACGACTGCGGCGGGAGAAGAGCTCGCGCATCGGTCGCGCGTGTCTTATATATCCTCGGCTCGGGTGATTACGCGATGTTCTAGAATCGTCTTCTTTCCCCTCCCACCCCACCACCCCGATGTGTCGATAGGAGGGTACGAATGATATTGTTTGGAAAGGAATAATGATTCTACAAGTTCCTACCGTCAAATAAAAAACGCGAATGGTTTTCCGCGCAACCATCTCCCCCCGCCCTTGAAGGATTTCCTTCAAAAAAAATATAACTAAACAACTAGAGCTAAGATCGACTAACAAATAACTAACTAACGCTAAGATTACCTAAATTAAACTACAATTTCAATCTAGAAAGCTAATTTAAATTATGGAAGAGGCAAGGGGCACAAACGGATAACAGGACGTAGGTAAGACCCAACCGTGGTCTTAACGCGAGCTATCCTAATTACTCCGTCGGAACCGGGAAAGACCTCCTCGACGATTCCTAACGGCCAGTGGAGAGGCGGCGTATTCTCCTTAGTGAGCACAACTACGGTTCCTACAGCTAAAGGCTCTGTCGCTGTGTTCCATTTTTGCCGAGACTGCAAAGTATGCAAGTATTCCATCCTCCATCGTTTCCAAAACGATTGCACTAACCGATCTAATAATTTGTGGCGTGTGGAAATGCTAAGTCTGTTCTCATCCATATCCGCGGCGGGCAGATACCTTAGAGGCGTTAAAGTCAAAAAATGTGCTGGAGTTAGAGCCAGCGGTTCCGAGGGGTCACTAGATAACGTCCGACAAAGTGGGCGGCTATTCATTACGCATTCAATTTGAGCGAGCACCGTACTTAGCTCTTCGAAGGACAAAATTTGATCTCCTATTACTCGGTATAAGTGGCTCTTTAGACTTTTAATATTAGTCTCCCAATTGCCCCCAAAATGACTCGCGGCTGGGACGTTCAGAGACCACTCAATGCGGTTCTCGGCTAGAATGTGAGCGAACTCCGAATTATAATACTTGCTAGCTAAGAGCTCGTGTAGTTCCGATAGAATACGTTTTGCACCGACGTAGTTCGTACCGTTATCCGAATATAATTTACTTACAGGGCCTCTGCGCGATAGAAATCTTTTAAATGCACCCATAAAGCCTGCTGTGCTTAGATCACCAACGAGTTCTATATGCACTGCTCGAGTAGTTAGACATACGAAAATGCAGACGTAAGCCTTTGTGGATCTTATACCACGCCCGCGAGTGAGCGTGACCTTAAACGGACCAGCAAAATCAGACCCGGTGTGCGTGAAGGGCTTTACCGATTGTATCACTCTACAAGATCTAAGTTCCGCCATTTCCGGAAATGACGGCTTGGGGCGTGCCCGAAAGCAAGCTATACATCTGTGCACCCGATTGCGTATTAAACTACGTGCAGAAAGAATCCAATAATTCTGACGCAAGATCGACATCAATAAATCGGGGCCAGCGTGCGAGTTCAATTTATGATGATAATCGACTAATAAGTTCATGATATGGTCTTTACGCGGTAAAACTATAGGGTGCCGTTGGTCGAAACTCAATTGCGAGTTGGACAAGCGTCCACCTACCCTTACAATCCCATCCTGTAAAAATGGCTTAAGGCGTTGAAAGGCGCGACTACAAGCTCTATTCGATTGTAATCTTGTAATTTCTTCAGAGAAGTGCGCACGTTGAAGTTCACGTAATACTAGCGACTCGGCATAGTTGTAATCGGATGCTAAGACATACGGACGTCGCGGTAAAAGCTTCGCGAATCGACAAACGTAAATTACGCTACGCAATAATTTCGACCAAGAGGACAAGCGGTTCGCCAGAGCAATGATTGGAGAAACCTCGCTCGAAACGTTCGCCACTAGAGCGTGTCTCTTCTCTTCCGGCGGTTGTGACACTGACGAAGGTTCGAAATCGGTTATTGGCCATTGTGAGGGATCCAAGTAAACCCAAGAAGGTCCATGGAACCAAAGCGGGTGGTCCATTATTTGCATCGGGGTGAGTCCCCGGGATAGACAATCGGCAGGGTTTTCCTTACCGGACACGTGATAAAAGTTCCGCGTTTCTAACTCGTCTTGGATCTTGGCCACTCGGTTCGCGACAAACGTATCCCAACGGTGGGGTGAAGAATGAACCCAACATAAGGCGACGGTGGAGTCGGAAAAGGCAAATATTCTTTCTATGTGAACTCTATCCCTACATGCGCCGATAACTGTGGTAATAAGCTTGGTGAGTACTAATATTGCGCAAAGCTCTAAGCGCGCCAGAGAGACAACCTTACGGGGGGAGACTCTCGACTTAGAACTAATGAGGCTAATCGAATTTCTACCATTATTCTGGACATGGAAATATACAACGCCCCCCGTAAGCCTTCTCGCTGGCGTCTGCAAATCCAACAACCGTTATGCTGCTATTTCTATCGACATTTATATGACGCGGTATTTTAATTTCTCTTAGTAAAGGAAGTTCCTCTCTAAAGCGCTGCCATAATCGAACAATGCTGTCAGGCGGCGAGTCATCCCAATCGCATTCAAATAACCAAAGTTGTTTAATCAAAAGCTTAGCGTATAATACCACCGGAGCTACGAAACCCATGACGTCCCATAATCTAGCAACGCATGACAGTATTGTGCGCTTTGTGCATTTCTCTACGGGCGGATTTACCTTAAGGCTAAACACGTCGGACTCTGGTGACCAACACAGACCGAGCACCTTGTGTGTATCGGAATCGTCGAATTCCTTTATCGCCGAAAGACGGTGTGATAGTGGGATTGTATCTAAAACCGGACGCGAATTACTAGTCCACTTCACAAGATCGAATTGACCCGATTTCATGAGCCTTATAACCTCGGCGGTGGTTAGGGTGGCCTCCTCCACGCTATCGACCGAATACACAAAATCATCCATATATAATCCGCTCTCAATTGCCCTCTTAGCTTTAGGATAAGAGGGACCTTCATCGTGAGCGAGCTGTCTCACCGTGCGTAACGCATGAAATGGGCTCGACTTTAAACCAAAACAAACGCGGTTAAATTCTAACACCATTAGAGGTTCCTTTGGGTGGAAACGATATAAAATGCGCTGGAATCTACGGTCGCATTCACGGACCCCTATGCAAAGAAACATTTGGCGAATATCGGCGGATAGTGCTATACTAAACAAACGAAAATTGACTATTATATCAAATAAACTGCCCTGTAAATTTTGCCCACTATAGAGGATATCGTTAAGCGACAGGTGAGTGCTAGTTTTAGCACTAGCGTCGAGCACTACACGTAATTTAGATGTAAGTTTGTCCTCTCTAATGACTCCGTGGTGTGGTATAAAATACGACGGTGTGTCTTCGTAGTTATCTAATTTCGAAGCCACAAGTGATATGTAACCTTCTCTTATATATTCGTTAATGACGCCGTCGTAAGCTTCCTTTAACTGGGGCGAAGCGAGCATCCTACGCTCCAAGCTGTAGAAACGTTTTTCCGCCATTTGACGCGAATCGCCGAGAGATAAAACATCTCCCTTAAAGGGTAGCGCTACACTATATCTACCGTCGCGATCACGAACGGTCGTGCGGACGTAAATTTCCTCGCATATCCTGTCATCTGAACTAGCTATGGGTGGGACGTTCACCTCCTCCATCTCCCAAAATTTGCGGACTAACGACTCGAGCGGTTCGACAGCCATACCACAATAAGAGGCTGCCGAAATACTATCTAGGATGGGGGCGGAGCCAAGGATCACATAGCTCAATACGGTTTCCAGTGCGTAAGGCGCGGTATGCGAGGAGTTGCCCCTGACCTTATTGTTTAACAAAAGATGAGGGAAAAGCGGTGCCCCAATGAGCATGTCTATGTTTCCAGGAACGGCGTAAGTGTCGTCTGCTAGAGTCAAACTTTTAAATTCAATCATTGCCGAGGTGTCAACCGAAACGGTTGGCAACCGTTCAGTGACCCTATCTACTACTAGTGCATTTATATCAAAGTTAACGTTACGATCTATCCGAGAATAAAATTTTAAATTTATATATCCCTGTGTCGCTTTACTAGTACCTCCGATGCCTTTAACTACAGGACATGAAAGTGACCTATTTATTACTAAGCCTAAGCGCTGACAACATTGTCGTGTTATAAAGCTATTTTGGGCTCCGCTGTCCAGCAGTGCACGGACGCTTTGTTTGTTTCCACGCGAATCCCTAACCAAAATACGCGCCGTACCCAGTAACACGGTTGAAGGAGGTTGTGCTCCCATATTTGCCAATGAGCACAGAGCGACATCACCAGGTCGACCGCTAGAATCGTTGACCTTAGTAGGGGTGAATTCCTTATTCGCCTTACTTGACGCCGCTATGTTGCTATTTTCAAAATGTAATAGCGTGTGATGTTTCCTGGCGCACTTGCTACATACGGAACTCGAATTGCATTTTGCAACTAAATGCTTATCGCTTAAGCAGTTCAAACATAGGTTGTTTGTTTTTACTAACTTATAACGTTCGCTTGGTGAATATTTACGAAAAGTCGCACAGTTATATAAATTACCGTGTTTATCTTTACATACTATACAAGTATGCTGGAGTGATGTCGGCGTAGCGGTTACGTAAGTTAACGACCCTGCTATTTTAGATGGTTGAGTCTGTCTACGGTCGACGCACCTTTTAATCTCCTGTTTAACGTTCGGTGAGCGCTGCATCACCTTTATTTGATCTCGCACGAACGATGCTAATGAATGAAAGGAAGGCATCTCCGAGCTACGATGCTCCATTTCAAACGCACGCACGGTGTCGGAGTCTAATTTCCTTAATGCTATATGGAGAAACACCACGTCCATGAGGTCATTAAACTTCAAATTCTTGAGTGCAGCCACCGATGCCACAAATTTATCGAGAAACTGCTCTAAGCCGTTGATGTTCGCGGATGATATAGGTTTAAGATCGAATATCTGGTTCAAATATTCGGAAGCTAACATTCTCCTATCTTCATATTTAGTTTTAAGCGTTTCAAATATTAATAAGTAATTGTTTGCTGTAGGTGTAAAACCCGAGCATATCGATTGTGCTCTGCCACTAAGTTTACTAATTAAGTAATATAATTTTTCAGCGTCCGATAACGATGGGTTGTTGTGTATATTGTTTTGAAAACTACTGAAGAAGAAGGGCCACGTCTTAATATCACCATTGAATACCGGAATATCTATTGGCGGTAACCTAATTGAGTCACGAGGGCGTACCTGCATTTCAGGCTTCGCTTCACCTTGAGATTGTAGCAATTTTGCGGTTCTCTTCACGCGACACAACATATCTTCGAATGCCAGCAGCGGTTGGTAGTTCACTATGTATTTCGGGTCGGTTTGTAGTTCCGAATGATTAATTTGATCTAATATTCTTTCGTAATCTGTCCGCAAATTATCTATCGTTTCGATTTCATTTAAAAAAGGCCTCCCGTACTGCCTCTATATGAATGTTCTTTATATAATCACTTATATTCTGCACACGCGAAAAGAGTATGTCCCTCTTGGCATAAAGCGTTTTAATTTTGATTTCACTTCCACTAACTGCCATTTTAAATTATTATAATAAAGTTATATTAATCACAATTAATCTCACACGCATAAACGACGTAGGATGAATACTCGGCGTGCCGTATTACGTAATCAGATCGAGCGCCCGATGCAGTCAAGGCTACGCGTCGTTTGCTAAACCTAATAATTTTATAAAAATTGTGGGGTAAGCGTATCAAACGGTTGCTATCACGCCGTTTCAATTATTTAATAAGCTTTAAATTTAACCAAATACGAGCGCTATTAAATGAATAATTCTGTTTGCGAGTAACAAATCAAAATTTTAATTTAAACGAACACTATTTAAGTCTATTCTATAAATTAGAGTGCGTTATCTAAACAATTAATTTAATAATTCGACCAGAAAATGGTTGGATAACCACTAAACACCAATCCAGATCCTGCCGAAGTGACCATAAAATGGTGGAGCCACGTGTTTAAGGCTGCCGAAAATCTAGTTCCCCGGTCAAACCTCAAACCTATTACGCGAGATATTAACTAAAGTGGACTGTATATGCGATTGCTTCTACGCTTACGTAAAAGCGACTACTATAGCATGCGGTACAATGCACTCGCTCTTCCCTAAACTAAACTATTACTTGTCGAATCGATGAAAGGAATCCTGCTTGACTAGGAAAAAAAACACAGATTGGAGCGGGTTAAACTATTAGCAAGCAGGTATAATTAAGGAATATTGACTCACCGGGGTTTCTTCTTCCTGTCGATCACTATAGCGGCGACTTCCGGAACCTCCTCTGGACAGACACTCTGGGGCCCCAGTGGTGCGTCAGGAGAGAAGAGTTGGTTCAACGACGACTGCGGCGGGAGAAGAGCTCGCGCATCGGTCGCGCGTGTCTTATATATCCTCGGCTCGGGTGATTACGCGATGTTCTAGAATCGTCTTCTTTCCCCTCCCACCCCACCACCCCGATGTGTCGATAGGAGGGTACGAATGATATTGTTTGGAAAGGAATAATGATTCTACAAGTTCCTACCGTCAAATAAAAAACGCGAATGGTTTTCCGCGCAACCACTATCTGAATATGCGATATGTCCTCTTTTGGCTAGAAGCACCAGTTTTAGGCGTTTGGGCATAGATTCCACCAGAGTTTTGCAGTTTTCAAGGATCTTTTCATCCCTGCACCATACTTTAATTATAGAGCAAATTAGGCTGATTTTTGTTTATGAATTTTCTATAGTGTTTAGATCGGGTAAGTTCCCTGGCCAATCCAACACATTCACCCGGTTCCTTGCGAAATATTCCTTTATTTTTTTGAGGTGTGGCATGGAGCCAAATCTTGTTGAAATATGCCATTTCTGGATGGGTATCTTTTCTCAAGCTCTGGTCCATTCCTTCAATCATAACTTTTTCGTACTGGTCGCTTTTCATCATCCTTTCGATGGGAACGAGAAGCCTTACACCATGGTACAAAAACAACACCAAAACATTTTTGGGGTGTTTTGGGGCTTGTTGGACATAAGCTGGTCCAAGCTCCTCTCCAGCACTACGACGCACAAACCTTACAACTTCTCCCTGTACGAAAAAGTGGCTTTCATCAGAAAATAGTACCCTTTTCCAGTCCAGTCTTGATGTTTTTTTGCCCAGAGATACCTCTTTTTCATCATGGCCTGGGTCAGCACCTGTTTTTTTGATGGGTTTGCGTGCAAATATTCCTTCTTCACGAAGTAGTCGGCGAACTGTAGTCACATGCATGTTGATGCCATCCTCGTATAGTTCACGAGTAAGGTCCATAGCTGATGTTCTAGGGTTGATTTTACTGTTTCTAACCAGTAACACATCATCCTTGCGTGTTGTTTTTCTTTTTGGTCCACATTTTCCAATTCTGTTCATAGCAAAGCTTCCCGTTTCTTGGTGCTGCTTAATGATACGGTTGACAGTGGCCTGAGAGACCCCAACTTCATCAGCGATTTGTCTCTGGGTTTTGGTTGTATGCTCCTTCAAAGTGATAATCTTTATTCTCTGTTCCACTGATGAATCTATGGTCAGTAGAGTTATGTAGCAGACTGCAAATATACAACAAAAACTTAAAGAAATAACGTTTAACAAGTAAAAATAAAAAATAAATAGTAATAATAAAGCAAATATAATAACAATAATATACCTTTATGAAATCTATGCCTACATAACCTCTCTTGACAAATTAATGACAGCTGACGTTCAGTGTTGCCATGTGCACCCAAGAATGTCGCCAAATTTAAAAATGCGAAAGGTTTGCACTTGATTCAATTAATATGCTCGGTACTGTACTACCCAATGGCATCACCAAAATGATATAACAACGGTTAACCTACCCAGGACTTTTGATATGCTGAAGTGATGTGTGATTTGAAAAAAATAAACATTCAGACCCAGAACAATTATTTGTTGGCGATACAAATAGAAAAAATGTGCTTGCCGTGCAATAGTGCTGTTAATACTGTTGATAATTTCCTTGGTTCAAACCCAGCTTGGTGCCAACATTCGTACAAATATACAAATTGTTGGGATTCTGATCTGTTTATTATACGACAGTTATGTCCGCGTACCTGCTCACTAAATGTCACAGAACGCGTATAACTCAGTTGTGATCCCCGCCAGCACCAATAAAATTGTTAGTTGCAATTTTAAGTGCTGATTTACCACGTGCTCGGCAGTGAAGGAAAACATCGCATGGAAACCTGCAAGTTAAATAAATAAAATACCAAACGCATTGACTCAACTAACTGCTTCACAACTCTCTCAGAATTGAGTGAAGGCTAGTGCCCAGCTGTGGGACCTACGAAGGCTGTAATTACTTTAATTTTTACATCAGTCTACATAATAAACATTCAAAATTATTATCAACTTAATCGTTAAAGTGACTGATTATCCTTCAACATGAAGAATAATCGTACATATAATAATAAAAACAAGGCAATAAAAGTTGATGTATTAATAATAACTTTTATTTATTTCTAAGGATCAAATCTTCTAGAAGAAAGCCAACGCGCTTCTTGGTTGGATCTGAGCACAGAAGCTCAGAACCGCGTCGCGAGCGCCTTGCTCACACAACTCGAAGAAAACGCTTTCCTTCTAGCAGATGCGGTGACCAAAGAGAAAACAATACTTCAGATTGTTAAAAATATTTGTAAGTACTTACTTCCTTCTAATGCTATGTGTCATGGACTAACCAAAACAACTGCTTGTTTTGAAAAATTAACCAAAATTTTGTTATTCCTGTAAAACGGGAACTGTTTTTTATAAAATTGAAGTGACATCACAAGCTCACTGTCCACGAGATGGTTAAGGATTACTGCAGCCTATGGACGTATGCAACCAAGTTGCTGCAAACGAAATAAACAGTACGTGTTTGTCACCTCTGAGGACTAAGATGGAACGCCTTACATCCTGTTATACACGCTCTCGATACGAGTACGCGTACGCTGGTATTGTAAGGGATAGGGATAGGCCATATTTAGAGCACACTTAAGGGAACACTGGCCACTCACTTTTCCATACAAACGTAGTCTGGCAATTACTCCACTGTTTGATGGTGTACGTTCAAAATAAAAAATGATTTCAATGTGTTTCATCATTATCTAGCCCTGTATGGAAACAAGAAAGTAAAAAAAAAATATATATTTAAAAGTACTAATTTTAACACATTTTTGGGCGGAAATAATTACCATAAGAAGAACGAAAATTGAAAAACAGTTACCATACAGAGATAGATTAGGTGTTCAAAAGTGCAAACAATTTTATGTTGAACAGATACATTCAATAGATTTTCCATTGTATCCAGATTCCCAAAGGTCTGTTTATAAAATTTCGCGCACTCGTTTTGTTGTAAATCATTATGCCTTTCGCTTTCGCACGTGATGTTGGCTGAGATAGCATGCGTTTTAACCCCGCCCACCATTTAGTTCGTGCCATCGACTAGGGCCATCTTAATCGAGATGGGGAAGAAAGGTTTGAGTGGACTAGTGGTAGGGAGACGATTGGTGTGAGGCTTTTGTGATATGTATGCGTATATATATATGGATGTGTAAGAAGCGAGAGGGGTCTGTCACGATGGTGAAAAATGGAAGGCCATAATCTCTGCCTACCCCTCTGTGTAACAGGCGAGAGTTAATGTTTGTTAATATAAAAATGCAAACGCTTTATTTATGTAGCCATTATTTTTCACTTCACTTATAAGTACTACGAATAAAAAGCTAATTGTTATATTTCAGGTCTTTCTGTAAGGGTGTTAGAAGTGAAAAGTGTCGAAGACGAAACGTTTCCATCCGTTATCGCTCAAGAACAATGGAAGGCTTCTGAAGACACCATTACTATTCCTAAGGCTGCCTTGATAGGTAAGTTTTAGAAACTGTTTAATTAATCAATTAATTATGGTATATTGTAATAGAACTTTTGGAATGTCTGGCTCGAAGGATCAAATACATTTTCTTACTTTCTTTAACATATGGCATAATTATTTGATAAAGAAAATTTGAAAGAAGTCGGAAGAGATCAGATTCAAAAAATAAATGGGTGCTCAGATAACACATTAATTTAATATAATACTAAAATTTCTATGCGACTAAATTTCATATAATATTCAAAATTGTATATTACAGATAATCGTCAAAAAGACTTGGTTCGAATCGTGTTTTTTGCCTTCGATCGCCTCGAGCAAATACTTCCACCGACTTTTGGCAAAACTCCGCAATTCGCTGCATATGCGTCAGATCCTTCATCATCTGCCGCAACAAGTATCAATTCAGAGAGAGAAAAGAAGAATATAACGAGGGTTTTGAATTCAAAGGTTAATTAAATTTATTTATATTAATTAATTAAAGAATATTATAAGGTATACATACACACGACAGCTTTGTTTGACAAACGAGTACACAGTTTACTTGATAGTAGTTGGACGCTGCCTCATTAATACTAACATCTACTGCTGCATTTTTATTCCTAATTTTTGCCACCATATAAAATATTGCAGCATTATTATTTTTCTGGTATTCTGTGAGAGCGTGGTTCTTCTTCCGTCGAGTCGACCGGATCTTGCTGCTGCCATAACTTCTGCAATATGGCTTTACCAGGTTATAAATTAACTTTTAGCTCACTGTAAACAGGGAAGAGGTTCTTAATTTGACTGTGTTTCTTATTTTTAAACTAATGTTTGTTTATTGACTTCGGAATATTCGTTTTTTTTATATTTATCGTCTGATTTTTAAATAAATCAATTATTCATTATTTAATTCAATTATACATATGTATTGTGTACTATTTAAACATTATGTATGTAATGTATCAGATATTCAGTATATTACTTAGGTTAATTGTAGTTGTATATATTTATTTTTGTATTTACACTTATGGTATGTGTATTTTTATTTTTACATTCACGTATAAATTATCTTCATATTTTATGGCACCTGCTAAAGTTCTCTGCTTAGCTCTGGTAGAGAATGCCTAAAGGCATTAAGTCCGCCAATTGTACATTTAAAGTGCAATAAAGTTTTAAATTAAGCGAAGTAGCCTAGGAGACGTTTGAGTGTAAGGGATATTATAATGTTTATAGCATTGTTAATATTCTTTAAAAAAATTATTGGCATTTCTTTACCATGTCTTTAATTTTTACTAACATCCATATCACAGTATTAATGTTTAATTTTTTTACAACTTCCCTGTCCGCTAAAAAGACTAGAGAGAAAGAACTCTGCAAATAAAAGGCTAGTAAAGAAAAGGTTGTATTATAATATTTATTTTATTACATTAATTTTATTAACTCACCAGGTAATATCAGCGAGCTTAGGCAACGGTCGCCACATACAACTGTCGCAAATGGTGCGACTCACTATGAAACATTTGAAGACTGAAAACGTAACTAACCCAGTTTGTGTATTCTGGGATTATACCCTACAGTAAGTTGATTTGTTTATAGTTATAATTTACTTTACTGTTTCAGTCAGGTTCACAATATTTTTCTACACTTAATACTTTAGATTTTTATACCTTACTGACAAAATTATTTGATATACATAGAAAAACATTTTAATAGTGAATTTTTATTTAATTTATATTAAAATTTATTTTTTACATATTTAAAAGTATTAAGAGTTCATGCAGTTCTAATTTGCGGAATTAAATTTGAACTTTAAAAAAGTAACCTAATCTCTCACAAATACATTATTTATTAAGACAATTAAAATTAAATTTTGTTTAACTTTCCAATTATTTACTTTATTAGTGGCTGGTCTCCTGAAGGCTGTCAAGTGGAATGGTCCAATCTAACCCATACTGGTTGTGCGTGTTCTCACCTTACGAACTTCGCGATATTAATGGACGTCCATGGAGTCGCATTAAGCCACGCCCACGAGATGGCGCTGCGGCTTATAACGCTGATTGGTTGCGGAATATCGTCTATTGCCCTTGTCGCTGCTATTATTGTGTTCCAGTGCTGTAGGAATATGAAGGTGAGTTGTAAAACACGATAATGAATGATATATAACTAAATATATAGTACAAAGTGTTTACAGTCTATATGTATAAGCTCCAATGTTAGGCCAGCATTCATTTCTAAGTGGAATTTAGGGCATGTAAGTGTCTGCCGCGCTACCCTAATGCGTGTTGGCGGACATGTCTTCCAAATATATATTTTTTTTAATTTTCAGACATGCAGATTTTCTCTCAATGTTTCCTTCACCGCCGAGCACGTGGCAAATCAGCACTTTAAGTAGCAATTAACGATTTCATTGTTGTCGGTGGCGATCAAACTCGGGTTGATTACTAAATATGAGGAATATAAAATTAATAATATAAATACTATGACTAAAAACTTATAAGGAGAGAGTCATTTTCTAACTTAGTCTCAGGGTATGCAGCACCCTCCTGCAATACAACATATATTTCGTCTATACCTACTGTAGCGTTCCGATTGGAACAGTATATATATCGCACTTGTCTTGTCTTTTTAAAATTGTTTGCAGCTATACTTGAGCTACTGTAGTCTTTTAACATCACATGTGCTGTTTGTTTATATCAACATGTTTCGAATGAAACAAACTTGCAATATTTAATATTGTAACGAGATGGAAGAAAATCCGTCACCGTAAATTGTCCCGTGCTTGTTATAAGAGGCGTCTTTGGTAAAGTCCAGAACGATGAGGAATGAAAATAAATGCCTCTGTAGTGTAAACCATTTCGTCTATACCTGATGTAAAACATTCAGGCCTGTAACGTAGAGCAACTTCAAGGATGTGGGACTTATGTCATTGCAACGGCAAATCCTAAGTAGTCCCTTCTTCCTAATAATATGAGACAGGCCCGTGTACAAAATTGATGCAGACTGTTATGTAAAAAAGGGAAAAGATCTAAGAACGTAGGCGGACTATGATGCAGTGTCCTTCACGCGGAGGCCAAGATAAATACATTCAGACTTGAAGACCAACAATTGTGCCATTGCACAAATGTTGGTTCCAACTTTAAATTAGCTTCGGAGAAGTCTGACCATGACGATGTCATTAGTAATTTATATAACTTTTGTTTTTCAGTCGGACCGAGTGTTAATCCACAAACATCTGTGCTGGTGTCTCTTGATAGCCGAGATAATATTCATGGTGGGGATAGATCAGACTCAGGATAGAATTCTATGTGGCATCATAGCTGGTCTACTCCACTATTTCTTCTTGGCTGCATTCGCTTGGATGTTCTTAGAAGGTATGTTTGAAGAACTATTAAATATTACTGTTGTCTCTACAGTGCCTATATTACTTTTTTCTTTAATTTTAACACTTTTATCTTTTAAAATGACTAATTGACCAACCTGTTAAATATTCGTAATGCAATTTTAAAGCAAACGTGTGCCTTATTATTATGATTATAAGGTTTAAATTAAACCTTTTAGTAAATAAACTTTAATAGCTAATGATAACAAAAAACCGGTTTGCTTTGTCGTTCGTAATAGATAAAGCATAGGAGTGGAATAATTTGCCGATGGTTATCTTTCAATCCTATTACAATTACAACTAGAGGTGCCAGGGAGGGAGGGTTAGAGGGAAGACGATGTTTACGAGCTGTTAAAATACGTTATACAGGGTTATTTTGCAATATACGACCAAATTTGCAGTGAAGATTAATAATAAGTAATAAAGGGGAATGGTTAAGAAAAATTAACTTTAAATTAATTTACTTTATTATTACATTATTTGAACTTTTTAACTTTTCTATATTCAAATTAGTTTTTATACGTTTTATCATTTGTGGAGTGTTTTGGCTTTTTATGCTTTAAATAAATTTTAAATATTAACTTTTTTTACTTTATTAAGAGTGGTATGACTCATAAAAACGATGTCGAAATAATTTTTTACTCCATATTGAATTCTAATTTTTAGGGTTTTTTTTTTATTCACTACGTTATATTTATTTATTCCCGATATTGTCTGAGTATTAGTGCTAAGTGTTATGTATTTGACACTTAACACTATGCGTCGAGCATTTTAATTGTATACCTATCTTTTATTGCGTAATTTAACTAGTAGGTTTAATATTGTAAGCTGTATTGCTAGCATTTGTTGCTTTTAAATTGTATTTTTATTGTATTTATTTTTGCAATATAATTTAAGTAATCGACGTGAACTGATTGTCATTCATAAATATCTAACGACTACTATTTTACTACGCACACACACATTCGTAAGGTTTGCGCAGTCGACCTAAAAGTGGAAATGAATCGCACACAGAGGAGCGCGCGTACTATTAGATGTTGCCCATAAATCACGTTCTATTTAGGATAATTACAAATAAAAGTAGAAGTTTTATTTATGTATTTGTACTTAAATATAAAATTTGGTACTCCTTGAAAAATAAACCTATATACATGGTGCACTTTCCGAAATGAAGAAATATTTGATTTGCTAAATTACTTGGTGTACCATTTTCCAGGATTTCATCTATACGCAATGTTGGTGGAAGTATTCGAGCCTGAACGCCCTCGCGCCCGGTGGTACTGCGCGGGTGCATATCTAGCTCCGGCTTTGATTGTTTTGGCTTCTGCGGCTGCGTATCCAACTGGCTACGGAACGCCGCAAAGCTGCTGGCTTTCCACGGATCATTTGTTTATCATGAGCTTTGTCGGACCAGTAGCTTTGGTTGTTACGGTGAGTGAAATTATTACATTAATAATAGTAATAATTTATTTGACTCTCAATTGACTGGTTACACTTATATATTATATCTATTTTAAATTACAAAATTACATTTCAAAGTAGTTGGCGTTAACGGCCATACTAGTATAAACTGTGTTAAAGCCGTCAGCGTCTTCCACCCTGAGTAGTACAATACAAATACAGTAAAAAATTACAGATTATTTCGCTATATAATACACAACAATTTTAAGTTAAATAAAAAATAAAAAATTTAATAGTTACTGTGTCATATTAAGTTTTTAAGTTATATATTATACACACATAATTTATCTTCTCTGTGGTAGATAATCATTATTGATAAAATATCACAAAAGCTAAGAATAATGGTGAAAAACGTGCACGCAGTCCACCTGATGGTAACTGGATGCTGTGATCCATAGACATCTACATCTATCCTCGATTGAGAATCAAAATGCAAATACAGATTATGCAAAGAAACACAGTAGCATTAAACTGTTATTTTACGCCGATATTCTCTGAGAAAAAGTACACTTATTTCGTTACCACTACCGCTTGGAGTTTTGGCATGAACTTGACTAATTTATGGGCCTATATTATCTCTTAAATAATGGTATGACAGTTTTGATATGTTTGGGAATTAAAAAATCTGCACATGAGTCTACTATTAGTGGAAACGATGCACAAAGTTCTCCGAGGGTGATATAGAGATATAGAGTTTCATGTATCAATATTATAGTAAAAATTATATTAATTATTTACAGGCCAATTGGATTTGCTTGGGTCTGGTTATTTACATGATGTGTCATCACACCAGTGTATCCATCAAAGCGAAAGAAAACTCAAAGCTGTATAAAATAAAGTAAGTTTTCGCAATATCTATTAAACATTAAAAATTAATTACCTTATTAAGTCACTTTAATAATTATTCAAATGAATTATATACGATATTTAATTTTAGGGTTTGGCTGAACACTTCGGTGGTACTAGCGGTACTTCTTGGTTTAACTTGGACCTTTGGTGTCTTGTATCTCAACGAACAGACAGTGGGAATGGCTTACGCTTTCACTATACTCAATTCATTCCAAGGTCTCTTCATCTTCGTGTTCCACTGCTTGTTGAATGAGATCGTAAGTATTTTACTACCTTATGCTTTTTTACATTTAATATTTCTATTTGTTATTATAGTAAAACTAATAATGGGCGTATTTTTTTTGGATTAAGATTTAAATAATATTATTTTTGACTAAAGCACTGACCAAGGCCCTGACTAAGGGTAAAAATATAACCTTATAACAGAAAATTCCATTGGGATGCCAACATAATTTGATCGTATTCATTTCAATCTTACTTTTTTTTTAAAGTATAGACTCAACCTCATTAGTTGTATAATTAATATAAAACTATACATAATACATAATAATGATCTATGGAAAACAAACAACAAAATAAAATTAAAGCATAATTCCTAGTTTTAATAACTTTTCTAAATCAAACATGATGATATTTAGTTCCAGAAGGAATGCGCACGTCTCGGTCGTCGACATCCTTGGCTCTCCTGCTGTTTATACTTCACTACGCAGTCATCACAACCATTGCCACATAATATGCCAGCCACAGCATCTTCTTCCAATCACGTGGATACACGTCAGGGTTCAGTAAAAAGTCGTAGATATCATCAAAGTACGGCAGCCGATGAGGATATTGTCGATCCACGAGACGTGACGGTAAGAATTCTCGAAATATATGCAATCCTAAATTAGTTCACATACTTGTTTGAGGGAAGGGTGAATATTTTACTAACTAAAAGTTTGGTGGAGCATTTCTTAGTTTGAATGGCAAGAATTAGGAATTTATACATTTTAATACAATAAAAACCTGTTAGATACACATTTTAGTTACTTTTTTTTCCATGAAAAAGATTTAGCAGCTTTTTTATGAGCAATTATTGATTACTAATGTGCTTGTAAAAGATAAGGCTAAAACATATGTAACAAAAACATACAAAAATCAAGAAAAACATCAGAATTGATAAGTCCAACGGCGATATAATAAATAAGTGGTAGTTATTAAATAAGTAAACACACATTATGAATATGATTTCTTATATTTACGCGAACACTACACATGCATTAAAACTGCTCTTGAGGATTTTATCGCGTTTAATTTTAAATGATTTTTAATTCCCAGATGTTTCGGGTGCTTTTCAGCACCCATGGTCACGGGGGACTAAGGTGGCTAACGTCGCGATGTCACTGTTAACTCGGAGTACCTTCGGCTTTTTAAATATTATTTAATTAAAAAATATTAAGTAATTTTATTCTGCATAGATCGGACCATAAATAATAATTAAAAAGCTGTAGGTACTCGGGTTTAACACTGACATCGGGACGTCAGTCACCTCAGTCCCCCGTGACCATGGGTGCTGGAAAGCACCCGAAACGTTGAGAATTAAAAATCATTTAAAATTAAATGCGATAAAATCCGTAAAAGTAGTTTTAATCAACACATGATGACTATTAGATTACTTAAATATTTTACACTTTTATACAGGGCAAAGGTAATTCTAGACACTACTGTTTTTTTTAAATGTATTTATTACTTGTGTTTTTTATAACCTATGCAATTTTGCTTTAGCATTGTGAAGGGTAAAGGAAAAGAAAGGCCTCTTTAATATAAAAACGACAACCACAGATAATTACAAATTAAATTTTTAAAATTAAATTTTTTAATCATAAAATGGAACAATAAAGGCAAAATGAACCTGTTCTGGCAATGGTTGAAAACAATAAAAATTTTCTTGAATGTTTTCTTTCGTCGTATTTTCTTGAAGTGCGTTTTTTAAACTGGTTTATTAGATAGATTCAATAAAATAATTATGATTCAATTTAAAATTTTTCAAAAGAGATGTTAACTGAGTTTGTTTTTCAAAAAATTTTTGACCTTTGTTTGTCCCATACCCTTCATATTTCAACTCTCCACTGAGTTACCGTACTGTGGTAAAAGGCAGGGACAAATTACCAATAGACACGATTATCTAATTAGTAATGGTGAATGGATACTGCTAATGGTGAATGGATAATTTTAATTTTGTATTTTATATGAAACGATATTAAGCTTCTTAAATGATCATAGTGTTTTTAAACTTAGGAACAGCTGCATTGCTAAAATAAACTTAATTTGGATTAGTTAACAAATGTTTGTCCTCTACTCACTAATCTAGTTATGGTGAGAATAAAAACAATGAAATCGTATTTTGCCTTAAAGAATAAAGTTGAATTAAGGAAATAAAGAATCCCATTACTACTACTAATATTATAAGTAGTATACAATTTATTAAAGCTTTGCAGCTGAGCAACATATTATTTAATTTTATTTATTATTTAACCTACATTGATTTAGTTATTTGATTTTATAAATTGCATTCTGACAGAACTCAACAAACGCTTCGGTGGCAGCATCAACGACAAACAACCTCGTCATCAACAACCTGAATGTTGTTGTCAACAACAACAACCACAACAACAATAACGTTATCAATAACGCAGCGGTAGCTTCCTTAGCTGCTGCAGCGGCTGCCCATAATTACCACTCCCATAGAAATAGAAGAAACTCTCAGGAGAATCAGAATTTCAGTCCTTCGTCCAACTTTGGTCCTACTCTCAATGCTACAGCGGCTAATTTCGCTCACAATATCCCTGAAAGAGAACCACCCGCGGCAATGACGCATTTAAGAAGTTCTATTAATCCTGGCAGTGGTAGATACCCGCAAGGATACCGGCAAAATGTTCAGCAAGGTACGTGTCGCATACATAGAGATAGGATTCCATACAAACGAAAAATAAATTTGTATTTTTAAAAGAAACCACCAAAAACACCACTTCAGCTTTTTTGTTGTAACTAATTGGCCTAAACAGCTCAGTTCATTTGTCTATTTTTTTAACAATGTTATTATTTTATGTGTAACTAACAGTAGTCTTTAATTTTTTTTATGTTACATGAAACGAAATGTATTTTTTTTTATTGTTTTATTTAAACGGTAAGTCATTTTATTGTTTTCTTTCTTTTTATCTTTGTTTTCACAAATAATAAAACTAACGCTTTTATTTTTCTCTAGTACTAACATAATTAACTAACAGGTTTCTTCCTACTCCCTTTAGTGGTGTGGTGGTTATTTAAAGTAGCTGTATTGCATCCCATCAATGATTTCATGGCGACAAATATTCTAACAATTTTGTAACTTACAACGAATATTGCAATACAAAAATCCTATCTCTAGTTAATGTGATGCGTATGTTGAATTGCTATACAAGTAACAATTCCTAAAAATACTTCATGAATATTTCTCTTATTTTATCTATCTTTTTACAACGAACATTTTATCAAAAAGTATTTCAGGTTGTCGATGGTTGTTGGGTCTGTTGATCTAGTAATTGTAAGACTATCTATATATTTAAGTAAATATATGTAATATATGCTTGTATACAACTTTTCCAACTATATAAACAGAGTTACAACATTCAACCGGAGCCATCAAGGTGGAATGTCCGACCAACCGCACCTATATACGTGCCAAATGACGAAACAAGATCAGTTCGGGCACCGACGCCACAAAATATACCTCGTAGCTCCTCACACACACAAAGTATAGCGTCAATGCATAGCTACAGGAATAATATTGAAGTACCGAATGAATACCAGAACTTAAGGTCGCGGTCGCCATCTTGTTTCTCGAACAAGATGGCGGCATCGATTGGCGCGAACGACTGGGCACTAATGGCGAACACGATCGGTGGCAATGTCTGGAAGGTGAGGGGAGGGCTTTATGGCTTGTGTCGGCACTATTAGAGTGACATTTACATTCATACTTATGCTTTAGTAAGATCTCGTATAGATTCGAAATTGCTATTAAAATAGCCAGTCGCTAGTATTATCGTATCATAAAGATTATTCATTTTAAAAGCCATATAAAACTCGTCGTCGTAAAACGTCTTAAATATAAAAATGTTCGATATAAACAGAACTTAGCAATTAATTTTATTAACGTAAGTCTTGGAGGTAAACGGGAGTAACCCCTTCGCAATATTTCGGGTCAAAAATTACTTATTTGTCATATTTTTAAGAATCGTTTTAACCTTGGTGTTTATGAAAGTTAAAAAAATATATTTATATATTAATAATATATAATTTTTTGTTATATAATGCGTATTTTCGATTTTAATTATTTATGATACATTATTTTTAAATCCTTGTCCATAGCTTCATATAAACATACAGGTGTTGGTAATAGTTCCTCTACAAATCTAAGAGGTCTTACTGAAGTTATTACATTAGATTAATAATTGCATGAGATCTAACATAGCGTAATTTTGCATGATTTCATTTCCTAAATCGCACATTATCTGTACATACATCAGCAGCCCATCCCATCTCCTTCTATTTCTTATATCTAAACTCTTCACATTAGACTCATAGTTTCAGAGTGTTTGTAATAAGCATGTGTCTTAGAATAAAAGGATTATTTCACAATTTTATTAAGTATTTAAAAATTAGGTTAAAGTTATGCATGATTTAAATCTCACATGCAAAATATAGATCGTATAGGTAATCATAAAAAAATCACCAATTGAAATTAAATCTAGTTGGAACTAACTTTTTAGATGTATAGAGTTATTTATATATTCTCTACATATTTTTATTTTAAATGTGTATACTCTGGCACTCTATACAATAACATTTATTAAAGAGCTTTTATTTAAGTCCTTACAAGTATAAGCTGAAACTTCTAAAATATTATGAGTACTTAGTATTTGTTACGAATGTATTGTCAGTACGTTATACTTTACAGATTATGTCGATGACAGACGTTTCAGTCAGCTAATTAAATAACTAAGCCTTTAGCTAATCGGCGACATTCATTTAGATGACTTACTTATTTCTACAATGTAACTAATATAGCCTAATAAAAACTCAATCGTTTTGAAGCAATCGACATCAACAGCAGATACAATTTTATTGATAATACTAATAATAATAAAACAAGAAACTGAAAACTTCCAGCTTACCTATAAAAAATGTTTTATCAAACTGCCTGATGTTTACATTGCTAAATATTGGCTAGGACTTTTGTTAATTCTAACATTAATTCATTTTAATTTAACAATTTTTGAACATTTGATTTGGCTAACATTTTATATACTTATTCATTGAATACCAGCGTTTTGTGATAAGCCGTCTATTTAACTGTCTAATTAAACCTTAGGGTGGCTCAAGTTACATCCAGCCGCACCTAAACCTACTTGCAAATACATTCGGTATTTATCGACGCTCACTCGGTATTTTTGTTGCTCATCAATATCGATCTAAAATTTTAAATCATTATGGATATAATACTTTGTCACTTTTTGCAGCCTTTCAACTTTTTAATAAACATTTTTACCTTCAATACATTTTTCGCAAGTTTGATAATGTTGCTCAAATCAGTGCTGCATCTCGATATCAGTCGGTAACTAAAATTTTTTCGCACGTTTAAAAATTTTCTCTATTATAACGGCTTCCACTAAATTACACAGCAACACCTTTGACTTGTTATAATGTTAATACCTCTTGTCGTTTTTCACTTGTCGATTGATTATACAGGATAGTTGGTATTAAACAGGGAATAAAACATTTAAAATTAACTATATAGTATATAACAACTATTTTATTCACCACATGAAATGAGCTGTTTCATGCATCTAAAACATATTTAGAAACCTTTTAATTATAATTATTCATAAATCTGTTTTCATTTAAAATGTTTTCAGAATTTTTATTTACAAATAGATTTCAAGTAAAATAAAATTACCTTAATAATACACTATATTTAAAATTTTATATGAATCATTTGTTAGGATTAATATTAATAGATCATTATATTTTATTTATTTGCAGAACACTTCTTCTAAGCATCACGTAGGGAACACGTCGACTCTTCCTCACCACGACACGCTAACCAGGCAACTCCAACAAAACCACATTCACAGCCCTTACGAATGTGAAGCACCACTAGCACCCGGATCACCGCGTCACGTTAAGGACGAGGAGAGTCCCCTCCACAATCCACAAGGCTACCAAACCACCAGGAGCTACAACCAGGACTTCAGAAACCCGCACGTTTTCATGTCCCAACATTCCCCCGGTAGCCAGGAGATGATCTTCCGGAAGCATTACAAGGACGACCGACGCAAACATCACCATCACCACGGAAGTCAAAATGTGAACCATACGTATTCGGAAATCGCGGCACAACAAGGCCGGCTGTACAGACGAGGGTCCGAACAGGAATTTCGGGTGATACAAGATGATCCAGTTTACGAAGAAATCGAAAGGAACGAGACGCTAATGTCGGATATGTCCGACGACAACTCCGGTCCGGACAGTTGCAGACAGAACCCTGGACATCACGGCTCGTCCAGTTCCAAGTTCTTCGGTGATCATCGCCCCTTGATATCTTACAGTCCTGGAGACAGGCATCATCACGAACAGGAGCATTATGGAAAGTACGGAAAATGGGACACCTTGGATCGGGCGTACGACAGACACGCATATGAAAGCGGCAGATTGGTACACCCATATCACCAGCCCCAGGAAAGTAATATGAGGGCTCTGGCAGCTGTTCTTAACGGAGAAAACAACGTCGTATGTCACTTAGAGCCGCACAACTCCTACGACGTTTATCAACCGCAAAGCGGGAACCCCAGGACTGTTTCGCAACCCAGTTTCTAAAGATTTTCCAAGCCAGTGTAATCGAGTGATCTAGATTCGAAACGGTCTCAAGTTTAATTCGCGTGTTATTATCCAATTATTAAAGACATTGTACAGAAATATCGAATGAGTTTTTTCTATGGACGTAGACATAGAAGATTGTCTAGTGACACGTTTAAGTGATAGCATTTTATGTAGAAACTTGCCATAATGTGGACTTTAAAACTATATTATATTTATAGACGGTTAGATGTAAAAAAAAAACTTAAATTTAAATCACTTTTTCCACTGTGATCCTATTTAAAAATAACGGCTCAAGTTTCAGTGTTGCGACCAGGTTACTTTACGGCGGGAGTTGTAATAGCAATTTTTGTATATACTTAGCATTTAGTACTAGTGAATGTACTTCCAGCGTGACCTTACTCTTTTCTACTGACGGAGTTTTTCGTTTCACGTATCATGGCATTATCACGGTGTGCATTTTATCTGTTATCGTAATTTTTAAAGATCTGTGATGTTTCATTTATATGCTTTAGATAAGTATTTCGTTGATACCGCTGTTTGTCTACACTGCCACAAATGGTACCTAGGCTGGACATTTTTAGCGTTTCTAGATTTACTGGCTACCTCAAGCCGTCTTCAGACTGTTCGCCAGCTTTTCGTTCTTCTTGGAAGCGTCTTAAAAAATCCATCCAACCTATTATAGACTGACACCACTTGATGTTGTGCACTTTCCTGTATGTTAGAAGTTAGTGTTTAAAAGAAGTTTTACTTAAATCAATTTGATAAAAAAAATGTTAAAAAATATTATTTCTACGTATAGTAGATTTAATTTTAATGCCATGGATGAACTGTTAATTTTATACCTTACAATAAATATTAAGGAATTGTTTATTAGAATTGATACAAGTACAATAACTATGCATTTGTTCTCATGTATATTTTGGATCGATTAAGCAATATATTAGACTGAAGTATTTAATAAATTGTTGGCCGTTAATATATGAAGTTTAAGCAAGGCCAAAATTTATGAAATACTTTCTTTATTGAGGAAAAAAATGTGAAAAAAATGATATCGTGGGACGGTTTATTTTTTGTAATTGGTATACTAGTCTAACCTTCTCTCCCACTATCTAAATATATGTAATTGTACGTTACGTCACGTGTATTTATGTTACATATTTTTTGTTTTGATTGTATTTTAAAAGAACGTTGACGAGTATATTAATGTAAAGTAGGAAAAACAAAATGTGTAAATAATTTAAAGTTTATATAAATAAAGAGTGGCTGTTCTGTGAGGACAACCGCAAATTGAATTTGTTCTTTTCATTTTATTTTTTATTTCGCATTTTAAATTTTTAAATGTTACAAGGTTGTTTTTCCGAAATTTTATTAGGTTGATAACAGTACTACAAAAAAAAAGACTTTATCGTTCCATACCTATTTTAAATTTAAAGATTTGTTTATTCCTCCATATTTCGAAATCATTATAAATATATTAATATCGGAGTTATACATATAAGTTTATTCATCGATATATCTAAAATCCGATATTTTAAAAAATATCAACAGTTTTAGTTTGAACTGATCAGTTGGAATGATCAGTTGAACTGACCGTGTGTGGCGTCCATTACACTTAAAATCATTGATTATCGACTAAAGTATTTATTGCCACTTTATATTATCATTTTGGATGAAAGAGATCTGCAATGTAGCATTGATAAAATTGAATTCTATTTTTATAAGTAATTCCGTACCCTTGTAATAAAACAAAACACAAATTATGGATTGAAAATTTATTTCTTATATCTTATGACACGTGATTGTTAGTTAAAAATTTTGATTATTGTCATCGAGAACTATAGTTAGAGAACAATACACTTATGCTAAAAATTTTGTATAAAACTTTAAAAAAATTGACATCCAAAAGCAAAAGGGAGATCTTTGAAAAGGCATACAAACAATCAGTTGCCAAAAATGAGATCTAATTTTTGAAAATTCTATAACCGACGAAAATTGTCTAAACCTTACATTACGAAAAATTAAAGAAAATCAATCACTTCCAAATAATACGTTATTTTTATTTCTAAAGTAAAATAATGGGTAGGTACTGATTTCATTACACTTGCGATTTTAAAATTAAAAGACCTATTTTAAGCACCACCCGCTAAAAAACTAAAAAAAAAATAATTTTTCACGAAAACAATTTTGAACGAGATCCAAATAATATCTGAAAGAAATGTCACAAGTACACCGTCAAAGAAATACATCAAATTACATAATCTAACTAGGTAACTACTTAAAATTAAATTTGATGATGATGAAATTTGATATCGCGCATAAAAGTGTCTGGAGGTACTAAGAACATTGCTATCGATATTAAAATTATTATCAAGATAATACCAAGACACAATATGCATCTGTTTCGTAGGCACAAATAAATTGTAAATTACATAGTTTATAGTTTATAATTGGATATAGAATTTTGGCGGGAAAAAATATTTAATATTGAATACTTTTTGCTGTTTTTTATAAATATACATAAAAAATTATAAAAGTACTTACTCATAATTGAAATAAAAATGTTTATTAGGGACATTAAACTGTCAAGATAAAGTTCTGTCTTCTTGCAACATTTACCTTAAAGCCTAATTATGATTTTTGCATGACTGAAGTTTACTTGACTAAAATTATAACAAAATCAATATATTATCAAGTATTAGTAAATTCACTAAGCTGTTGAATGCATCACCCCAAAAAAAAAGAAGTATGGTTAAACTTTATAACATGCCAATGCGTTATTATTTATAAAATTAAAATGTACCCATAATATCGTGTTCGAATATCAAGTACATTTTAGATATATTAACATGTGCTTTGCAATTAATTCAAGTCATTGTCTCTTCTGGCAAAATATCAAACGAAACAAATTACAATGAACAGGTAGGTTAGGTAGGCAGGTTACAGGGAACCAAGAACGTTTGATTAATAAGCAAAGAATGTGATACATTCCGTACATATTCCAATACTAAACGTAGTTATTTAATATGACTCTTTGTCCAATACATCAAAGTGAGCAAACTAAATTATTTACTTTTATTTTTAAATATAAAAAAATACATGAAGAAATTCAGGCAAAATATTTTACTATACATAATTTAATAAAATATTTGAGTGACGCAGAAAAAACTTGACTGAAATCTGTGTCCAGATAAAAAATCCATATATTTGCTAAAAGACTAATAATATCCAGTTATAATGATTTAAAAAAAAAAGATATTATTTGTGCCTATGAAAACGTAGTATGGTTTACTTATGAAATTGATATAGATTACCTAAAAGCCTAAATTTGAGACTTATTTTTGAAAGTATAAATGCCATTTTGAGATACAAAATCGTTTGAGTTACATCGTTACAGAAGTGAGTTAAAATTGTTATTGTTGCATAAAAAGATTGATAATGCATTATCAACTCAAGTTTAATTTAATTTTTATCGGAGCATAATGGAGTCAAGGGTCAAGTACCTGTTAAAGTAGACTTTATTGATTTTAAATACCTACATCAGATGAAATTTCGCATGATGTCGCTTCAGGTGAGTTAGCTAGTGTATAAAACTAAAAACAGTTTACATTAAAATTAAAATCATTAAAAGTTAATTTCAACACTAACATTTCATTACTTTTTATTTATTATGCATTGAACATATTGCCAAGTGACTATTACCGCTAACAATTCGATTAAATAAGAGCTTTTACAGAAATCTTCGACATTCAAAAAATAACTTACCACGAAATATGTATGTAAGATATGAGAACATGGTATTATAAGTACCTACTGAATTAATGTGAAGTGAATCGAATGAGAAAGATAGGAAACGACTTATTTTGCGAGTTATGAGCGTGAATTATCGTTTATTTTATTTTATTATCGATGTTTGAATATCCAATCTACAGAGTAGATGCACAGAGTTCATATAAATCTAGGTGTACAAAACCTATAAAATATACACTCACGGCACACATCACAAAGAGTTCACAGTCTTCAACCGAATATGTTACATTAGCAACACAACACGTAACTCCAAGTGGCCAAAGGGACGAAGTACAGGAAAGCTAAATATATTATACTATTTTGTAATAAATAAGACTAATTATATAGCAGATTGATTTGTTAGTTCTTAAAACATATTGGAAATAGCAGCACGTTAACGTAGAAAGTAATGTTAGTTGTACTCGAATGTTACATTATTAAGACAAAACTTTATACAATATTAAAATACGTATTGTTCGAAGTAAAGGTACAACTTATCGAAGTTTACGATATCATGTAGAGATCATTTTCGTACATCTATGGAAGATACAATAATATACCACTTGGAGCCATAACGATACAGTTGCTATGAGCACCCACAGCTCTCCACGACCATTCCTGGGATTTTGCCGTATATGATGTTTAGGTCGTGGTCGAAGTACAGCATTGAGATGCTGCTCATCCGTCGGGGGGCACAGCACGGGCCGCCGCTACCTTGAGGCGCTGCCAAATGGACTATGTGAGTATGGGGATACTTCTGGAGGAAGCTGTAAGGACACTCGCCGCTGCAGTAGTTCGCGTCGTACTGTTTCGGTGCTATGATCCAGTCCCAGCCGAACTCCTCGAAATTGACGGCCAGCGGATACCGGCAACAGCGAACTTCCTTGGAATTCTCTGTGCAGTCCATGCCGATCGTCCTCCGCGTGCGTTTGTGCGAATTGTCTCTAAGACTTACTTCTATGTATGGCATCTGCAACAAAATAAAAAAGCATTAGTATTTGGTTATCTTAAGTTTTATACGGTCTTCTGGTACATTGTAGACGTTTTTTATTACAATGGCAATATCAGCGGCGTCATCAATGATGAGTACATCATTCACTTTCGATTTGTGACTTCAGTAGCGATTTCCAACGGATACTTCTCAAAATGAATGCAGACAAGACTAAACCTATGTGTAATGTCCATGTCACTAGCTGTGTCGGTAGACGAGT